GTGTCAGATTACATGATTTTGACTCCTAAAATCTTGTGTCGTGGACAAGAAACATGTCAGACTACACGTTGCTTCCCGACCAATCATCGCGTGCCGTCTTTAACGACGCGCGTGATGTCATCGAGAAGGCGGAAGTAGCGACTGACTTCCGAAAACAAGAGTGTAAACATTGCTGAAGCGCTTCCGCTATAGTTTGCCAGCATTTTTCTTTCTTTGTTCTGTCGTGGTAGTCCCTCAATGACACAATTGCCACAGCTCCTCGGACCTTTCCTCCATCTCATAATTCCACCTAGCAGCACCATCATCTCTCTTTTGTTTCGCATGTTTGAAACCTGTGTATGAAAGAGCTTCTGTGCTGCTATTGGTCAACGTCACCAATGTGACAGAACTCGTCGTGGACGACGGAAAAAAAATTAAACATGCTAGTCTTTCTGTCGTGAAGCATCGCAGACGCTGAATCGGTTGTCGTCCACTATGACACACTACACGTGCTGAAATGATGGAATCTTGCGTCCCGACGCCCATTGTCGTTTACGAATCCCCACGACACCCTACGTCAAGCAAGTCGTGGCAAAATCGGGTTTAAAATCGTGTAGTTTGAACTGGGCATTAGATGATTTTGTTTTTCCTACCTTGTCGCAATACATTGTGGGATCTGTAAGGGTTACGTGCAGTGCTGTCGTAGAAATAGCCGAAACAGCCTTAGAATCATAATGTGTGCTTTTTAGAAGAAGCACACCATTTTGGTCAGCAGTACACCTGTGAAAATGCTCTCGAGGTAGGAAGCTCACTGGAGCAGAGGATGATTGAGAATGAAGTTTGCTAGCCTGCTGTGTAGGGCTGCACGATTAATCGAAAAAAAACATGATCTCGATTCATACATAAATGCGATCGCATTTCTAAATTCACTTGCATGTATTTCCCTGCATTCAGATCACGCTGCATTCACGTGTTGGGGAACTGAGTGTGTGCGATTACCTGCGTCTGTTCTTCTTCAGGTCAAGTCATATATTAGTGAAAAAATATCTGTTGTTAGAAGATGAAAGTGATATATTTGTCGTTGTATCTTTCAACGTTTAAGGGGATTTCCCGCATCAGCCCTGTTCAATGCATTGAATCAGTGCCGTAGATCTCTATGAAGTGAAATATCAGCTTCAGTGTTACTAAGGTGATGTGTTGCTGGTCGATAAATAATATAACGAAGGCAACATCGGTGGTATTATCTGTAAAAAAAGGTTAACAGTGGCAGTCAACAGAGAGCTTATATATCACTTGTATAAAATGTAAATGATCTGTATCTGCCGATCATAATGTACATTTTTTATTAGTTATTTTTATTTATTATTGTTAGCATTCTATTATTTATGTTCAACAGCTTACAGCTTTTAAGTTATTCACTTTAAGGGGTGTAAAATAAGTAAAATACTTTTTTTTGTTACTCCAGCAATTTATTATAACTGAAATTTATTATAACTTTTTTTTTTATTTTTTTTTTTACTTGAGTGCAATAAATGGCTTGGTTGAAAAAATTAGAATCGTGAGAGAGAATCGTGATCTCAATTCCCATGGAGAAAAATCGGGATTCACATTTTAGCAAGAATCTTGGAGTCCTACTGCTGTGGTAAGAAATCTGTCCATCAGATCCATCAATCTGAAATTCTGCAATTTTAAATTGAGCTGAATCAGTCAGCCAGATTTGTTTGCGCGCACATCTAGTGGATAAGGCAGCAGTGTTTGGAGAGAGGCCTTGTTGTCCTCCCTGTAGTTTTAGGGCAATGAAAGTTGTTTGTCATATATTCTTAGACATACATACACTTAACATGTTTCTCAGAGTGAAACCAGTCAAGTCAGTTCTGTCTCAGAGCTGAAAAAGACATGTCATGAACATGTCTACAGTCAAGCTCACCCACACGCTTATTTGCTCAAGAAGTGTCGCATTTTGGCACGTCTCCACTGATGGCAGTAAATTGCAGGTTGTAACCTGTTAGAGTCTTAAACTCTGTTCTTTGCGTGAAGATCAAGAAACAAGAAGGCTCAAAGTGGTTAACTTCATGCAAAAATGAAAATTCTCATCATTTACTTACCTTCACGTAGTTCCATGTCTGTTATGTCTGTATTATTCTGTAGAAGATGTTTTGATGTGATTATACATCTTAGTGAGCCTGTCAAGCTCCAAAAAGGACATAAAAGCACCATACAAGTAGTCTATGTCAGTCATAAACCATATTCCAAATCTTTTGAACAATAGCTTTTGAAGAGGACAGACTAAAATTTCAGTATTCGAACCATTGTTTAATTCCAGCATTTAATTCTTCTAGAGGTTCCCTGGGTATTCGAGTTAGTGTTCAGTGCTTCTCAATCTGTCATGAGACACACAGGCACCAATTGTGTTTGCTGCCTTTGCTGTTATGAGTGTGGTAAATGATGACAGAATTATTTTGATTATTGGGTGAACCATTACTGGAATTCATTTCCTGTAATATGTTCTCTCATTCATTCGATAACTGATGTGTAAATTAAAAATATTCAATTGAAAAGCGATTGATGGAAATGTTCCCTCAGTCGGAGAAATATATATGAGCACAATGGCAGAAAACTGCTTGCTTAATCATGAAGCTCTGGAAAGGAACTAACAAACCCTAAGTACATATGCGCTCAACCATGCTTCCCCTACACACTCACACTGAAACGCCAGCGTCCTTTACACACACCAAGCATACAGAAGTGATATTTTCATCAGATCAATGCTGCGACTGAGTCATGGAAATGATCGATGGCCAACACTGATCAGCATTCACTCCCAGGAATTATCAATCCAAAAACTTCAATTTGGAAACATTTATTGACTGGCAAACATGCTGGTTTCAATTTAAACAAATTTCCTGTTTGGGGATTACAGGAAGTCAAACAGGGCTAGATCAAAACCTGATGCATTTGTTTGCGCAGAAATCTCAGTGAACGTTTTCCTGTTTGGAGGAGACAATTGACCCTGTGAGGGTGCCTTGAATGAATAATCCACCCAAAAATGAAAAT